CTTCCTAACTTAGAGAAGCATGTATGAAAATCTATTTCTAGTCATCAAGGCCCTGAAGTTCGCTTAGTTCAAGTTTTATTTTCCACATTATGTCTTTACTCTTCTCTGTGTATGTTGGGACCTACCAGGAGTTCCTCTATGTAACTAGCACATTCAAGGTCAATCCTAGAGAAGAAATTTATTTTCTGATAAATATATGTCAGAAACTTCTAGAATCCTTTTCATCTACCAACTTCTTTAAACATCAAAGTGAAACTATTTCAGATCTCCATAGTTACACAAAGATGCTAACCCACCAGTCTCAGGACCTTTTAAAGAAAGCGTATCTTAAATGTTCATGTTTTCCTCTCCAGAATTCATGCTTACAGGTCCTGGAGACTACCATGTTTTCTCTCCTTTCATTGGTTTGCTTTGCTTCTTTTCTTATGGTTTGTATCTGAGTCCAGCACTGTTTATTGACCTAGAAATACAAACTCTGTGAACAAGCCACCCAAATGCCTGGCCGGAAGCAGCAAGACATCAAAGCAAAGAGGTCTTCGATCTTCACATCTATGTACGCTCTGTGGAATGTGGAAACTCCAGGTACCTCACCCATCACTTGTGAGTTGACACTGAAAAAGTTTCCATCTGATAGTGCAATGATATTGATCTGTGTAAACAGAGCTGCTGCAGCAGGGCCCCTGGTATAGCTCAGGCCCTAGCATAGGCAGGGCCCTGAGTTTGATCCCCAGGACTGCAAAAGCAAACCAAAAATGAAACAAAACTGTTTCCGCAGCCTTTAAATATACCTAATACAATCTAAATAGCATATACTTTTTATTACCATAACTATCCAGTTAAAACCATAGTCCATAAACTATGCAGCATGTCTTTTACGTAGGTTGATGCCCATGTGTTCTCTTCAACCTAAATACAAACACAAAAGGATGCACCAGAAGCAAATGTATCACTGAAGCCAGCAGTTTACTACATTCCCTTTTCATTCTTTTGCTTTTCTTTTTTCACCATAACTGGTATTTTTTTAATAATTTTATTGAGAAAATTATTAAATTTTCTGATGAGTAGGACAGTTTGTCCTACTCATCCTACTCAATAGTAATTTATTGTCCTACTCAATAAATTACTGATGAGTAGGACAGTTTCAGTAATTAACACATTGCATATTGTGGTCTTCTTTTTAGTGGTCATTCATAGTACAAGATGCAGACGTGATATCCTGTCCACAAACACTATTAGTACAAATCTTTCTTCTCATTGAATTAAGAGAAACTAGCTGTATATCTATCCCAACTATTTTGCCTGTACAGATACAAAATGGTCCCTCATTTGTATCCCCTTATTTTGTTTAGTTTTGTAGCGATGGGTACTCCATTGCCATTTAAATATTGTAGGTGCATGAATTCAGCAAAAGGTTCCAATATAGTCCAGTAGTCCATAATAGTAGTGGGTTAGCCATAGGACTGGCAATGTCATGACTTGTATTTTAATTTCAGAATTCTATTCTAAACCAATTTGTATTTTATACTACAGAAGGCATAATTTATTGCTTTATCATACTTCTCTGCCATACAAATATCTATACACATTGCACTTTAATTTTTTTTTTTTTTTTTTTTTTTTTTTGGAAAGGGTCTATAGGGTGTTCAGGGTCTCACTACTAGATGGGACTTGTAGTGATCCGCCTGTTTACAGCCTCCAAAGAGCTGGGATTACAGGTACATACCACCACTCCCAGTCTCAACTGCCATCTCAGCATGCCCTGGAAGCAGGGCCAGCAAGTCTAATTTTCTAAAGTTTACTTTAAAAATGTTTCTTCTCAGGCTGCTGGCAACATAGCTGAGAGGACTAAGCGCCTGCTTAGGCAAGCACAGGGACCGAGTTTGATCCCCAGCACCACATGCCAGGCCATCCCTGCCCCAGATGCACTGAGCCAGCCAACCAGGCACGGTGTGGTGGCACACACCTGTAATCCCAGTGCTGGGGAGGCTGAAAACAGGAGGATTCCTACGAATCTGAGCTGCATAGTGAGACCCTGTTCTAAATACACTAAGAAATAAATACAATTTAAAAACAAATAAATAAAAGTTTCTGGGCTGGGGAGAGAGCTCGGCGGCATAAGCTCAGGGTCCCAAGTTTGATCCCTGGTACTGCATATCGTGCTCACCCCAAAACCCTGGACATACCATGCCGACCCCGGAACTGGGAGCAGTGGTGCGTGCCTGTAATCCCAGCACTGGGGAGGGCTGAGATAGGAGGATCACTAGGAATCTGAGCTGCATAGTGAGACCTGTCTCAAAAAATTAAAAATTAACAAAAGAAAAGTTTCTTGATTCTAAGGCTTTATGCTTAAAAAATTTCCAGGACTGATTTATCATTACAACTATAACTAATACATTCATAACAACAACAAATAATATATATTGTTATGAATGTATTAGTTATAGTTATATAGTTATATACATATCCCTATATAACTAATAGTTATATATATATATATATATATATATGAATATATATAAAAATATATTGGAATATTTTGCTGAATTCATGCACCTACAATATTTAAATGACAATATATATATATATCCCCCTACCATGGTACCAGGGATCAAACTCGGGATGTGTACTTGCTAGGCAGGTACTTATGCCACTGAGCTATATCCCCAGCCCTGAGCCTTCTTATAATTATTAAACATTAAAAAGTTAACTACTCTTCAAAATGCATATGTTAATGAATGGGCCTTTACTTTTTAATTCATTCACACTTCTGTAAGTAATTATTAAGTAGTCATTAGTAGAATAATGCAGAGTTAACCATCAGTTTTATTTCTATTGTTGTTTGAGGTCTCCTCTCTTTATTACCGTAAGCAAAGAGAAGATGTTTTGTGCAAATGAGAAGTTGTGAGAAAAAAAACAAAATGAGGTGGTCTGATATTGCCATTCTGTCCTTTCAACTTTTATTAAGTTACCAGCTCCTGATCCAATAGTGGTCCATCATGGAAAATTACTTTGAAGGACCTCGCCACTGACAATTTGATTAGAGCCATCATTAAAATCAGGACAGTAGCTACACTGGATCTGTGTCCAGTGATTTGTGATTAAGGTTCTTCCCTTCACTTCCCCACCCCAACACCAATGTTTCAAAGATCCCTCTGTTTGAGCTTGAAGGTCCCGTCAGCTAGAGACAAGGCAACAAGAAAAAGCCAGTGTCTTTTGGGCAAGGAGGAACCTGCACAAGGGAAGGGAGGAAAAGAGGGCCACTTTTGGGCATTCCTAGACACAGTAGTTTCAGGAAGGAGCACGCAAGTGTCATGGCTTTGATCTACAGCAGTTCCCAAAGCCTCAAGTGTCTGGCAGGTGGCTGGATTGTAGACCCTAGCAGTTGACTTGCTCTTAGGATGTGAGGCCTGGCTGGAAGCAGCAGGTCACTGTGGGTGTGGCCCAGAGAGCACTTCACCTTCCGAGGTCTTGCCTAAATGCACTGCTTCCTTTTCAACTTGCAGGGAGAAAGCCTTCCTGTACCCAGGTCCTTCCACTACATTGTCAGCCATGCAAGACCTTAAATTTCTAAACTGCAAGCCAAAATAAACTTCTCCTCTTTTCAGATGGTATCAGGTATTGCATTCCAGCCATGAGAAAGTAAAACAACAGAGAAGCTGGGACCTGGGCACTGATTAGCTAACACTCTCAGCACTCCCAGGCAGGGCTCACAAAGCCTCTGTGTTCTCCAAGTCAGGCCCTCCTCTGATAGCTGCTAACTCGGATGACCTCAGCAAGGTAAGCCCTGGTCAAGATTTCCCAGTCACAGGACTCTAAGACAGTAGAACAGAACGAAACTTTGATCAACTAAGAGAAAAACCCATATTCTGTGCCTGCTAATGTCACCAAAGCAACAGGAATACACAGCACCACTGACAGATTCATAGTGAAATGTGAATTAACCAAGCCCAGGTCTGACTCCCAGCTTGCAGGAAACAGAATTGACTGAGGACAAAGTCATACAACATAAGGAAGCAGTGGGCTAAATGCAGAACATGGAACATTCTAGAAACAAATGACCTACCCAGTTTTACCAACAAATTACTCTTTTAAAAAACATGGGACTGCTGAAGAATAAAAGACTTAAAAGGCAACAAATTCAGTGTGAAAATCTTGTTTGGAACCAAATTCTATCAAAACAATCTTAGAAGACACTTTTCAAAAAACAGAGGAAATTTCGGGGCCGGGGAGATGGCTCAGTAGAATAAGTGCTTGCCTGGCAAGCGCAAGACCAGAGTTCAATCCCTGGTTCTGCAAAAAAAAAAAAAAAAAAAAGAAAGAAAGAAAGAAAGAAAGAAAGAAAGAAAGAAAGAAAGAAAGAAAATAGAGGAAATTTCAACATGGACTAGATGTTAGTTTTTAATAAATTACTATTAATTTTAGTAGATATAATAATGGTACTGGTGATTATGATTTTCTGAAGTCATTCAGTTAAAGATATATACTGAATTGACAGACAAGAATTATATGATGTCTGGAATTTGTTGGTACAAAATATTCCAAATTCCAAGAAAGGCTGACCGAAAACAGATGAAAGGAGATGAACGAAATTTGAATTCCAGTTGAAGTTGGATGGCGGATACCTAAATTATATATGGGGTTTCTACAATTTTTACATGTCTGAAAATGTTTATAATAAAAAGTTCTTTAATAAGGAAGAAGGGAGAAGGAGAAAGTATTTAATTAGTGTTGTGTATCCCTCAGGCCCCTGAGAGCCTCTTCTTAAATATTATTTTATTTTCCAAGTCCTGAGACAGCTACCATACAAGCTTCTTCCTTCATCATCTAAGGAGAAGCAGGACATCCAGTAAGCCAGAAAGTGACAATAGGAAACCACTAGCTCTTAGAGAATCCAGAGATGTATCTAGGTAACACAGGACGAGACTAGAGACAGTGCTTGGTAGAGAAATGACAAAACAAACATATCTTTGTTGACATTTCTCCTCCTACACTCAACTTACCCCTGCAGCAAAGCCAAGGCTTCCATCCAGGATCCGCCTCTGAAAATGAAAAGAAGGTGCTTCAGTTTCAGAGGGACAACAGCGCGAAGTGCCCCAGGCCAAGAGAGAAACTGGCCCGTGAGGGCTGGGGAGATGGCTCAGTGGAATAAGCACTTGCCTAGCAAGCACAAGGGCCTGAGTTCAATCCCTGGTTCTGGAAGAAAAAAAAAAAAAAAATGAAACCATTTGGGGGCCTGCCCCTTAGCTCAGTTCTTTAAGTGGCTGCTTCAACAAAGCAGTCAGGCTCAGGTTGCTGTGGTTGATCCCCACAACTCAAGCCAGCCAAACCTGCCCTGAAGGCATTCGGAGCCAAAAAAAAAAAGAAAAAAAGGAAAGAAATTAGCCCATGAAAGCCCAAGATGGCCACAGGCCTACTCCCCAGCTGGTGAACTCCTGAGTTTACAAAATGGAACATGAGCCAAGAGAGAGAGCCCCACCCCTCCCAGAACTGATCAGAAGAGTCCTTTCCTGGAATGGCAGGGATGCAAAGGCTCACGGGATGTTTCTTGTTCAGCACCCCTGCAAATCGCCACCACAAACTTTAGTAAGTAGCTGCTCTAAAAGATGGAAATTACCAAGGGTTGGCAAGAGCAGGCACACATACCATCCCTCTCACAGGTCGAGGTGCAAACTGGCATGACCACGTTGGAAAACTACTAGGTGGCACCACACAAGTGACCGCAACCCATGCTACCCCTGAGTGGTGACTACCGAAAGCGCATGCTCAGATTCACTAAACACATTAGCAAAACCTTCACAGCAGCAGCATGTGGGAGACACCAAAAGCAGAAACTGTCCGAACTCCCACAGGTGTAGAATGGGCACAGCAATGAGTGCATATTCGTATAACAGAAGGCCACAGGACAGTGGGAAAACACAGGCACACACTATATGCATGTTCGTTTGCTTGTTGCATGCACATACATAAAACAAACAGGCAGCGGCATTATGGAAACAAATAGGATAAGCTCACTCAGACATGGAACCAATGCACACTGTACAAAGATTACAAGGTAATAGATACTGTGAAAGGAAAACAATCTGTTCAAAGGACAGGAACACCTGGGATGAGTAAAGGGACAAAAGAAAGAAAGAAGGGGAAAAGATATATCTATGTATACATACAGGATACCTTGGATGATTGTACTGATTTCTGCTGGCCTATTGAAAGGATCAGTTAATGCTTAACTTTTTTTTCTCCTCTCTTTTAATTTCTTCTAACTTTGTTTTAAACCAATTTTGCATGCTTATCACTGGCCATCTAAACTAATTTGAAGACAACATCATGCAGTATAACAACCGTTGTTGAATTCCTATTATTTTGTTTAGTGAAATTCTATATCATTTCTACTGCTATGTTTGGGTTTGGTTTGGTTTGGTTTGTCACTATTTTTTCTCTTTAAAAAATATACATATCAAAGGGCCAGCCAAATAGCTTAGCAGACTAAAGCACCTGCTCAGGCAGTACACAGCAGCGAGGGTTCAATTCCTGGCTTGTCGTGCAGGCCAAACCCCAGGGCACGCTGAGCTGGTGACTGAGTTCAGGCGTGGTGACGCATGCCTGTAATTCTGGCCCTGGAGAGGCTGAAAACAGGAGGATCACTATGAGTCTGAGCTGTATAGTGGGACACTGTACCAAATACATAAAATATATAAATAAATAAATAAATAAATAAATAACCAAAACAGGGAAACCGCCCATGCTGTGAAATAGCAGTGGGGCCATTAACCCTGGAGTGGAGGTGGTAGGGGGCGCAGGAGTCTGGAAAGAGACAGGAAGGGACTGTGAGGGGCTGGCACTTGATCAGGGCACAGTTTCATGGGCATTTATAAAAAGGATCAGCTGTACACTTATAAAATGTGCACTCTTCTATATGAATCTTGTATTCCAACAACAAGGTGTCTAAGTATCTCTAGATGAATGAATACACAAAACATGACACATACATACAGTGGGATAGTCTTCAGCCTTAAAAGAAAGAAAAAATTGGCACATGGGACACCACCGCTGAGCTTTGGGGGCATTATGCTAAGAGAAATACACCATCCATGCTCACAACTCTTGTCTGTCAAGAACTCTGCATTCTCCCTCCCTGCTGGGCCCTGTCAACTACCACCCCACATTCTATTTCTATGAAATTGCCATCTGTAAGTGTCTTGTACCCTGTGATTCCAGATTGTGATCTGAGTTCCAAGTCACTGACAGGTTGGCTCCAAGCCTCCCCCAGGAGGTAGGTAGGCAGTGTGGGAAGCAGACCGGGCCAGTGCGGGAGGCCAAACCAATACCTGCCCGACTGGTCTCTAACACAGGGTGGCTGGCCTGCCGACTTCCTAATGGATCTTTGTATCTCGAGCAGTCTCACAGCACATTTAAATAGAACTTAAGACAGCTCCTCACGTGCATTCATCAAGACGCCATCCAGGGCCCTGGGTCTGAGCCCAGGGGAGTCCAGGGTCGACAGAGTTTGAGACTTTAGGCAAGGAGGTGGGTGTGGGTTGTGTAGGTGTGGACAGTAGGAGAAGGCTGGGTTGGGTACAGAGGAGAGGTACATAGACTTAGAGGTGTGGGGCATGGAGGAGAAAAAGATGAGGAATATCGGGGTGTAAAAAGGGCTTGGGGCTAGGCTGAGGAGCCAAAGAGTGAACACAGGTGCAGAGATGGCCTGAGAAGTAGATGTGTGGAGGACACAGAGCCACAGGAGTGGGAGGTGTCAGGCCTGAAGGATCATGGGAAGGTGGCCTTCGATAGTCACCCCAAGGGTGAAGACACATGGGCATCCTGCAGGGATGCGTGAAGATGACTTGCTATCCAAGGAGGAGGAATACAAAGGCCTGGGCCTGGGATAAAAGAAAGGCAGCAGATTCCTTTCTTCCTCCAAGGTCTTTTCAATCATCCCAACTAAGCCAAGGCCACAGGGCAAGACAGATATATCTGAAATCTTATCTCCTTTGGTCCTGCATGGTATCCCCCAGACCCAAAAGAGGTCAGACGGAAGCTAGAAATCAGGCTGGGTTCCTCATTCCCAATCCCTTCAAACCACATTGTCAGAGGCAAGAAGAAAAGATAATGCACAGTGTCTGTCTCTGTTCTCCTGGCTGGAAAGAGAGTTGGGCATAAAATAAGAAGACTGAGGAAAGTTCAACCAAAAGCCACCCCTGCATGTGCAGGCAGGGACCTCAGAGAGCCTGCTTACCAGAGAAGCAAAGCAAGGCAACTCACCTGTCCACTAGAGAAGACGAACACGAGAGCTGCCCCAGCAGCCGTCATCCCCCAGGTGAAGAAGGTCCCCAGCAAGGCCTGGAACACAGTGCTGTGGCCTTGGAGCATGCTGGATATAGCTGTGTGCAGAGGAGCAAAGGGTCAGCCACCAGGGGTCCCTTGGGTGACACTTGCGTGTTCTTCTGTGTCCTCATTCCTCTGTTTAAGTGTTCTCCATCTGGAGTGGTGGCACGCACCCTTCTGCCACACCAACCCAAGGGTCCTCAACCACCCAGCATACAGGTCAAGATTTTCTATCCTGGTCCCCGGACACTGAGATGTATCTAACTCTGCAAAGCATCACGGGGATGTGTAGGAAGCCTCACAAGAGGCTGCGACACTGAGAATCAGTTCTGGAGAAGAGGCACAACAAAGATTTCCAATAGTGTAGCCAGGAGGAAGGGCTCCAAGGTCCAACACAGGGGATCATCTCAGGCTCATTCTGCAGACCCCACCTGGCCCTGCCTGTTGGCTCTTCTCTCCTCCAGAGGCCAGTAACTAGCTCAGGTTCCCTTTTGAAGCTCTTCCACCTAATTCCTACTCAGAGCTCTCAATCCCTAGACTGCTGAAGGGAAAATTCTGCCCACTGATCTCCTACTCCCCCGTGAACTCTGCAAGCCCACATCTCCCTTACGCTCTACCCAGCCACCATGATCCAGCCCACCTGCTGCCAACTTCATGAGAAAGGCATCCCTGATCCTCCTACCGGGTATCAGCTGTGAACGGGCCTCCTTGGTCATTGGTGTCCTCAGCCGCTTGAGATCAAGGGCTGTGCTCTTGCCTAGCCCTCTGACACAGGGTTTTGTGGCTTCTTAAAAACATTCACTGACTTGGAAAAGGCCAGCTAACCTGGACAGGACAGTTGGCAAAGACAAGGAAGCAAACCCGGAAGTGGCACTGCCCCTGGCCAACCCAGCACACCGCAGCTGAAGCTGGAGTCACCGCGCTGCCCACTGAGACACAAAAGAGAGGTACCTTCTACTCTTATGGAGCCCAAAACCTCCTCCAGCCTTGAACATGCTAAGCGCTCACTCTGAAATAACAAAGAGTTAGATCTCTCCCTGTGGAAAGTTACAGGGCAGAGAAACTCCGGTGAACGGCGCTGTGTTCTAGTCCCTAGGGCTCAGGGCCTTGTCTCAAAGGCTTCATTCAGCTCCCACTGGCTTTCCATCACCCACAGGTCTGGACACAACCCCAAGAGGTTCTGTCTTGCCAGCCCTGGTATTGAAGAGCCAGCCACCATGAGCCTACAGACCAAGAGCTAATATATTGTCCTTATTGACCCTGGAAACTGTGGTGGAGGGTGACAAGGGCCCTGACACCAAAGGGTTCAGCAACACAGCAGGTTCCACCCTCGGAAAGGCTATGGTCCCAGACAAGCCCAGGTAAGCTCTGGCTCTGCTTGCTGCTAGGAAACCTCTGAGATAAGTGTGATTTGTTCAGACTGTGGTCCCCATAATCCAAAGGACTCAGGATGGTGACTGTAGTAATTAATGAAAAAATCATTTTTAAGAAGTTATTCTCAGGGCCGGCAAGACAGCTCAGCAGACTAAGTGCTTGCCAAAGCTGGTTTGATCCCCAGTTCCACACACTGCGCTGGTCTCACCCCTGGGGCATGCTAAACCCACGACTGAGTCTAGGGGTGGTGGTGCACACCTGTAATCCCAGCACAGGGGAAGCTGAAACAGAAGGATCACCACAAGTCCAAGCTGAATAGTGAGACCCTGTACCAAATACATAAAATGAAAAAAAACTAAAAAAAGTTACTTTCTTTACATTTGTCATCTTAAGATACCCTGTAAGAGTAGTTTGTGTGTTTTTCTTTAAACTAAGATACCTGGATTGTTAACAGCACTTCCAGCGCTTGCGGATGAAATTTCAAACATTTGCAAAGACAGGGGACTATTTTCTCTTATCATGTATCATCCAAGACACAGAACACCTTTAGTTCCCCTGGTAGTTGAACATGCCTTCTGACAGCCGCAGAAGAAAACAAACAAGGCTCCTCAGCCAACAGACCAAAGTCAAAGTGGACTTTGTGAACCCAAGGGCGTTCCTGGTGGGCATCAGAAGAGGAAAGCGCTCTTTTAAACTGTCCTTTCTTATACCTGAGAATCTGGAGAAGTGAAAAAGGGAACAAGGCCACATCCCAGGCATTCCAACATTTGTCAGGGCCACTGTAAACCCAGCGTCCCTTGGAGTGTCTCCTATTTGCTATCTGAAAACCTCACTACTCAAAGGGACCGAGCCTGGGCCCTCTTGAGGGCTGCCCAGAAACACGGAGCTCGGGTCCCAAGCCGGGCTCTGAATCTGCGTGGGCATGTTATCCAATGCCATGGGGGATTCTAATGCCAAGAAAGTGTGGAAGGCACTTCTGTGAAACTGAAAGGGTGCCTACGCGACCAAGAGCCTAGATTACGTGGTAGCACATCGGGCGCTGCGGGGGACTGGTAAAGCCAGTAAAGAATCCAAAAAAGCAAGTCCACATCTTGTACAGCACTAGGAAGAATGTATGCAATGTGTTAATTATTGAAACTGTCTCATTGCTATTTGTTTCTCAATAAAATTATGGAAAAAAATTTAAAAAAATAAATAAAAGAAGCAAACGTGTCTGGCAGGTAGACCAGTAGGCACTTCGGGGTGCTGGCGTGGTACCTCCAGAGCTGCTCACCCCTGGGGCTCACACGCCCCCATTAGCTGGCTATTAACACCACCACTCCTGAGGAGTTAGCAGGAAAGAAGCTCCCTTTCTGCCTACACCAACTTCAAAGAAGCCACCACCACCCCCGCGCAAGCGTGTCCTGCTACACAGGCGCAGGAGGCATGCCTACAGGTCTCCTCTGCGTACTTTCCTCCCGTTCTCAGACTTGTTGCTCTGCTTCTAGCAGTCAGCCTGGAGATACCCGTGCTGCCTGGGCCTTGGGAAAACTACACACACGGGCCGTGGCACCAGCAGGGGCAGCCAGGGCAGACTCGGGTTCGGGCGGGAGCGACCGTGGGGAGGTTGTCCTGACTCAGCCTCGCTGCTCCAAGGGTGGTCGCGGGCGGCGGCGGAGGTGAGGCGCGCACAACGTCAGGCCTCACCCGGGCCGACAGAGGGTTAAACAGATTCCCGGTCAGATTTAAGCGCCAGGAGGCGGAGCCTCTGGCACCCTGCTCGGGAGGATCCGCGATCCCCCACACCCAAGCAGGAAGCAATGAATGAAGGGGGTCCCGGCCGAGCGCTGGGAAAGGCCGCGCGTCCTCGCCTGCGGTCGCCCTGCAGGGCAGAGGGTGCAAGGGGCACCCCCGCTCCGCTGCCACCTGCTAAAGCCTCAGCTGCTCCTCCAAGCCCCTTCCAGCAGCACCCAGGGACACCCCCTTCGGGGCTCCAGGGTGCTGCGCGACACTCTCGGCCTCAGGTCCCGGTCCCCGGCCTCGGGCCCAACCGCAGGCGCTGAAGGAGAAAAGAGCCGACTCACTGGGGTGCCCTCTGCGGCCCCCACTCCGCTGCCCTCAGCCCGCGGCCGCTGCTCCGCCGGCTCCACTCCTGCAGTCACTTCCTGCTTCCCCCTGACACACGTGGCCCTGCTGCCACCAGGCCCCGCCCAGCCGCTCCTGGAAAATCCCTCCTGAAGAATTAATTCTCTGGTTCACAGCCTTCCGCAGGCTCCGGAACGGGACGGAGCGGGCAGAACAGCCCGCGAGGCGACGCGCGGAGCGGTCTTCTTGCAGGAGCCCTGGCGGTCGGTCCTAGGAGGGGGCGCAGGCACCCAGGCAAGAGCCCTTTGTGAGGTCCCAGACGTTGCTTGGTGTCCGGTGAGCGAGGCTGGGTGAGCAGCAGAAGGGGGGAGTGACGCATCCTTCTCTAGGTCAGGGGCCCTCAAACCACAGTGTCCATCAGAATCACCCAGAAGATGTCGAGCCCAGGGTGCGATGTCATTCTAAGTGGACCTAGAGTTTTCTATTTGAACTAAGCCTTGCTGATGCTGTTGGTGTCCAGGGCCACCCTGGAGAACCACAGCCCTAGGACAGACAAGGGCTTTGCTCTGCTGGGCTTCCCTGAGAAGACAGCAGTGTGCGCAGATGGTGAGGTTTAGCCAAACCAAATCAAAATGCAGACAGGAACCCTGGTGAAATGCCAGTTTCAGGTAAACAACAAATAATCTACATTAGTATGAGGGTGTCACGTGCAATCTTTGGGACAGATCTGTGCTAAAGGTGTTGTGGTAGTGTTGTTTATCCAAAAATGAAATACAGTTCAAGACCTATATAACAAGAAATGTAACTTTTGTATCTGACAAGTTCAGTCAAATCCCCTCAGAATTTACCCTGAAACCCTGTACAGTAGTTTGTAGATCTTTTGTCAGTGTCAGTGATATGGATGAATCATGGCCATCCTTGACCAATTTGCTCTCATGAAAGCCTGAGAGAGTTTTCTCTCCATGTGACTCTCCTTAGGCACACTCTACATTGTCGATCACTTTCCTCTGTGGCCCCATAATCTCCTTGATCAGAAAATTTGGGACACCATTGAGTTATATAGGTCTTGCTTTATCTTGGTCTTAACCATCCAGCAGAAAAGTATAAAAACGAGGTATAAAAAGTAAAGCCATATTAATATGCTGAGCTGTAAAAGGCTCAGGTCAACAACTTCTGACATTGCCAGTCCTACGGATAACCCACTACTATTATAGACTACTGGACTATATTGGATTACTCTGCTGAATTCATGCACCTACAATATATGAATGGCAATGGGATACCCATCTCTGACAAAAGTAAACAAAAAGGGGGATATAAATGAAGGACCATTTTGTAATTATATATATATATATAATATATTATATATTATATATAATAGCTTAGATATTATAGCTACTTTCTCTTAGTTCAATGAGAAGAAAGTTTTGAACTAATAGTGTTTAGACAAGATATCATGTCTGCAACTTGTACTATGAATAACTACTATTAAGACAACAATATGCAATGTCTTAATTATTGTAACTGTCCTACTAGCCTGTTTTGAAAGTCTCATTGCTACTTCTTTCTCAATAAAATTAATATTAAAAAAATACAGTTCAGTGTCCTGTAATTTACTTCGAAGCCTTTGCTAGAGCACAACCTGGGCAAAAAAGAGCCTGTGGTTGGAGTGGCCATAGACTACAAGGCGCAAGAAGAACAGGCCCCTTTGTGAGTTGACCCCCATATTGGTGATGGCATATACCATGCATTGTGTAGGGGAAAGAAATTAAATTTAAAAATAGAAAGAAAAATACATAGTCACCCTCTAGAGACCCATGGACCAGCGAGAGCCAGACCAGCCATGACAGCAGCTGCACAAAAAAGCATGTGGAGGGCACAAACCACACCAAGGGGGCACAGTCCCCAGCGTGACCGCAAAGCACTGCTCCTCCTGCCCCTACAAAAGCCATGGAAGGTTTTCATGCCTTGGACTTGGAAAGGAGAAATAAATGGACTAGAGATTAAACAAAAATGGCCAGATTAATCACTGTGGGAGCGAAGGAATAGACACAGAAGGGTTCATTAAATTTTTCTTAGTATAAGTTTAAATCATCCTGCTCTAATAAGTGTTTCAATTTTCCTGATGAAAAGCAAAAACAAAAAAGGGAACAATGAGCAAAACACCCCCTACTTGTCTTTTCTTGTGGCTGCTATGGGAATTCTGACTCCTGACCTCTGACTTGGGTCACAATAGTCACCTCCTGCCGCTCCACCCTGTTCTGCCTACGAGATTGACCTGCCACAATCTTGCTTAAGATCTTCAATGGCTCCCTAGTGCCTTTGACATAGAGTCCAAACACCCCAGCCAGTAATTCAAGATGTTCCCTGTTACAACAGCAGCTGGATTTTCTCAGATTCGTTGGCTTCTCCTTGTGCCCGTCAGCCAAGCAGGGCTGCGCAACTGCTACACAGTCTTCCCTCTCTGGCACCAACCGGTGTATCCCCAGATATCGTTTCTACTGAATTTCCCTTCACCTCCCATTTCCCCAAATCTAAGCCTTCCATGTTCGATCCCTCTAGGCCCTGCTTTGATACAATCTCTCATGTGCCTGCTCTGACCCCATCTCCCACCTGTCCCAGTGCTGGCTAGAAAAAGATTCTTCACCCTCAAGGGGCCCATAGAACTTTATCTGATTCTCAAGACTCCTACGAGAGCTAGGCTCTAACGTCACTGTTGGAGCCAGACACAGACAGACCAGGACTCCACCGTGCTCCCTCTCAGCAGCCCATATCCTATCAGGTCCTCCAAAGAGGCTGGGAGGAGACACGGGGGTAGGCTGGGATTGGGAGTGGTGGTGAAGAGGCACCTAACATTTGCCAAGCGCACAACCTGGGCACCACACTCTACCTTTATACCATGTCCTTATTTAAACCTCACAATGATGTTGAAGGGACTCTATGGTTATCTTCATGTCACAGATGAGGAAACAAGTTAAGGAAAGCTCTGGCATGACCCCAGGTTAACAGGACACTGTGGGAAGCCAAGCCCAGCTGTCTCCTGGGACCATGTTCTTCCTGTTCAGGCTTCCCAGGAGGTGGCCCAGAAGCAGCCTATTCAGTAAGCATCTCCCCTTAAGTCACACCAGTCTCCTAATGCCAGAAAACCAGCCCCCCAACCGAGACGTCTCATCTTCCTGAGTACATCCCCTCCATGCACACCCTCTCCGAACATGCCAACTGCAATGGTCTTTTGCCTACTTTCTTATGTGCTATAGGCCCAGCAGGAAGAAAATGTTTCCTTGAAGTTACAATCCCCAGTGCACCCCTGTCCTCTCCTGGGGGGGGAACAAGTTTGCTGTGAAGCCCTCATAAACTGAGGGAGGGACACTGTGAGCATAAACAGAACAGAGCAGTAGCAGGGGGGGGGGTACTTTATAGCTCAGGGCCACTTCCCTAGGGGCCGGGGCTCTGAGACTGATGCTCAACTGCACAGCAGCAGAAGGGTCAATGGTCCTTTCCAGAGGGATCATTGTCACTTGCTATGGCCCAAGACACTAGCAGCATCTCTTCCTGAAAGACTGGAGTAGAGTGGGTAAGGGGACAATGGCCAGTGGCCAGGAAGGTCCACAGAAAGGGTAGAGCCAGTCTGCCACTCTTTCATCTTTGCTTGTCTGTCTGTCTCTCTCTCTCTCTCTCTCTCTCTCTCTCTCTCTCTCTCTCTCTCTCTTCCCTTCTCCTCCCCCTGCCCTATCCCCAGAAAGAGGTAAAGTAGCTGTTGAGACTCAGCTTCAGAATCTGACCATGTAGAAGAAATAACATCTGGGTTTCCTCAGACAGACTCCACAGTCACTCCCAGCCTCAGTCTCCCTGTTCCCAACCAGGGAATGAGGCTACAGTCTCTCCAGTCTCCGTGACCCAGAGTGAAGTGCCAACGCTCTGCCCAGCAGCCATCCTGGGCAACTCTCACCCATCCACTCTCCCTCCTTCTTACACTTGCTCATTCATTGACTGGTGCCATATTTTTCAGCTTTACTCTGTCAAGCCTTCTGCTGATCTTCGGTGTGTGGTCCCTCCACACGTGGCTTTACTCACCCAGGCAGTCTCACCTGCCCTTCCAGCAGATTGACCGCGGACCTGGCCTCAGGACTGAGATGAACCTTTCACCCCAGGCTAGCCAGTTCATTCTCTCCACATTGTGGAGAACAAACCCAGCCAGGACTGGTTGTCATTTTTGCGGTTGGGGTCATGGAAGTGAAAGCAATAGGTAGCTTATAGAAGTGCTCTAACGCTGTGGGGGAAAAGGAACCCTTCTCCACTGCTGGTGGGAGTGTAGACTGGTGCAACCGTTATGGAAATCAATATGGAG